GAGGTCCTTACATTAAGATCTTGACGATGCTCTGCATTGGTGCTTGTATGAAAGTTCATCCGGGGTCCTCATAGGAAATTCTTGCATGATGATCTTGCAAGGTCCTCTTCAAGGTCCTTCTTTGGTATCTTTTGAAATTCTCTTCGGTGTCCTGCTATGAGGTTCTGGTATGAGGCACTGATGACTAGACTCTCCACATAGCGTTGCAGTTACGACAATGTTTAACCTGATCTGTTACTGCTCCATGGCTACTGTTGCTTGTATCTGGTACATTGACTTCCTACCCCCCACATTGTTTGGGGCCTCTTGCCGGTGTCATTTGGGGGCTGGGTATATCAGACTAATGATATAAATAACATGGTATATTTTGTTGCACACGAGTGTAAGTGCGAGAATTATGCAAACATTGGCTGGGAATCAAGATGTGCTTTTTGCAGGTAGGCTCTCCTTGTCTCTGGCTGATTCTGCTTCATTCAAGCCAGCATCATTTCAGACGAGCTGCAATTTGCATCAATTTGCGTAGAGATTGGGGTGCTACTTGGTCCACTTTGTTACCTGGAAGCCGGCCCACGGATACCCTGCACCATTTGAATGCAGATTTATGCAGGTTGAGTCTTCTCGGATGAGTACTGTGATCCCTTTGGTACTGTGATTTGCTGCTTCATTCATCCCAATCCATCGATGCACCCAAGGACAACAGACTGTTGCAAGCAAAAACGCAAGGCGTCTTGTATCCGTGCTAGCCAATTGCGGCAATCAAAACGAGCAACGCGAACAGTAATTTAGCACTTATGTGGGCAGAATAAACCGCCAATTTGATTGGCTAATTGTTTGGCTGTGTGTGGTTGCATGCGATTGTGCTTGCGACACTCAGCATGACAGGCCTAAGCTTTCGCAGCAGCAAAAGCCTAGACAAGTCTGCAAAGGATACATTGGGGAGGATGATAGTGATATGGTGGCAGGGACTTGGATTGTTAAATTGGCCAGCAAGCTCTGAAATTGATGATGGTGATTTAGAAAAAGGCCATGGCCACACATCAATTATCGGGAATGTATTGATCGTGCGCCGTCGGTAGGTAGGGCGCTTGATGAGATGTGATAGTACATCTATCTCTTGGTGTCTTGAGATACCTGGGTTACCTACTCTTTTCATAGAACTTAGGACAACCAAGCCTAGAGAGTTAGAGGTCAAGCCCTCCCGTACCAGAGCGTGTGCTAGACAGTATGAACCAACCATGCAATCCTCCACCTAAATGACGGAGAGCTCTTGGATGCCGTGTGTTCAATCAATCCTGATCGTATCTATCTCACTTTCTTGATGTTGCTGAATTACCGTTGTGCCTGATGGCAGTTGGCAAGCTTGGTCTTGCCCTGGGGCACCCTGGTCTCTGCCAATGATGATGGCGACGGCTGGGTGAAATTGAACGTCTGGGATCCCAGCATTGCCTGAAGTCCTCGATAAAGCTCAAGCCCTAATTTTGCAATCATTTGAACATAAGCATTCGGCAGTAGACAAACAAACGCACACACACACATACACAAACCCACACCCACACCCACGCCCGCCCGCCCGCCCTCACGCGCACACACACACAGAGAGAGAGAGATAGATAGATAGATAGATAGATAGATAGATAGATAGATAGATAGATAGATAGAGACAGATAGAGTCAGATAGAGAGATAGATAGATAGATAGATAGATGGATAGATAGATAGATAGATAGATAGATAGAGATAGATGATAGATAGATAGAGATAGATAGATAGATAGACAGACAGACAGACAGATAGATAGATAGATAGAAACAGATAGATAGATAGAGACAGATAGACAGACAGACAAACAGACAGACAGACAGATAGATAGATAGATAAATAGATAGAGACAGATAGATAGATAGATAGATAGATAGAGATAGATAGATAGATAGATAGACAGACAGACAGACAGACAGATAGATAGATAGATAGAAACAGATAGATAGATAGATAGAGACAGATAGACAGACAGACAAACAGACAGACAGACAGATAGATAGATAGATAGATGGATGGATAGATAGATAGATAGATAGATAGATAGATAGATAGATTTTTAATAGCAACTGCCCCTTATGATTCATCTTTGATGGCTCGCTCTGCTTCAAACCTGTGTCAACAGGGACCCAGATTATTCTGGTGACAGGCCTGACCATTCGTGAGTATATTTTGTATATATATATATAATTATATATATATGTGTATATATGTATATACGTAAAAATATGATACTGTATATAAATCTGGTACGCGCTTTTGAAGAGGCGAACGCTCGTACATGGCGCTATTCACTCGCTTGCACATGCACATGCACATGCACATGCACTTCACCATCGCCATCACCATCACCACCACCACCACCACCACCATCATCATCATCATCATCATCATCACCATCGCCGTCACCGTCGCCGTCACCATCATCATCGTCGTCATTTTCTTCCATTTTCTATCTTCCATCACTTTCGGTATCAACAACATCATCACCATCGTCATCATGTTCATCATCATCATCATAATCATCATCATCATCATCATCATCACCATCATGTTCTTCTTCATCATGATCATGATCATGATCATCATGATGAAGATGATCATTATCATTATCATCATCATAACTTAGCCACCTCCCAACTTTAATCTTCAATCTTTCAGCATTGACATTCCCACCCCAGCTTCCCCCCCAGCCAAGCCCTTAACATCGTCGTCGTCGTAGTAGTAGTTTTATGCATTAGTAGCAGTAGCAGTGGCACTAGTACTGTACTAGTACTAGTACTAGTAGTAGTAGTAGTAGTAGTAGGTAGTAGTAGTAGTACTAGTAGTAGTAGTAGTAGTAGTAGGAGTAGTAGTAGTAGTAGTAGGTAGTAGTAGTAGTAGTAGTAGTAGTAGTACTAGTAGTAGTAGTAGTAGCAGTAGCAGTAGCAGTAGTAGTAGTCGGAGTAGGAGTAGGAGTAGGAGTAGGAGTAGGAGTAGTAGTAGTAGTAGTAGTAGTAGGAGTAGGAGTAAAAGTAGGAGTAGGAGTAGGAGGAGTAGTAGTAGTAGCAGTAGTAGTAGTAGTAGGAGTAGAAGCAGTAGAAGCAGTAGAAGCAGTAGAAGCAGTAGAAGCAGTAGAAGCAGTAGAAGCAGTAGAAGCAGTAGAATTAGCAGTCGTTTTGGCAGTAGCTGCGCTAGTGGTAGAAGAAGGTAAGTTGGTGGAATGTGCAAGTTGGTGAAATTTGTTGGGAAACGTGTAAGTGAGTGAAATGTGCCATGTGCAAGTGAGGGCTGCACCCTTCTGAAGGCCGTCGGCCGCTTATGGCTTACCAGAACCATCCAAAACCCTTTGCTGCCGTTGCTTACTGCGACTTGGACACTTTATCACACAGATTCCCATGTGTGGTGTCAAGGCTGTGGGCTACCTGAGGATAATTGAAGCCTGTCACTTGGCAGATTTGGGCAGCATGCACCTGGCGCACCCGGAATTTTGAATACGGAGTGTTTGTGCAGTCGCACCAGCCCTCAAATCCTTAGAATGTATGAGTAATATGAGTGGGTATGAAGGACTATCCATGTCCCGCAATTACCGATTATTTGCATGCGGACCTACCACCTACTTGCCTACCTAATTATCCAATCTATGTAATCTATCTGATGTTTGCAATGTTGTATTTACCTATTCATCTAACTATGATCCTGTTTATTCATGCGTCTCTCTCTATCTCTCGTCTTCCTTTGATATCTGTGTGTGCGTGCCTCATTGGGCTCCGGTCGTTTGGGCCACTGTTTGCAGATTGTTTGCTTTTAGCCTTAGCTGCAGCGACCAGAGTCCCAGACATGGCGATGGAATGATGACATAATTCATAAACATATTAATTATACATACAGCACAGACTACAGTTCAACCAATGTGCAACACTTGCTTCGGTCGAAGAATGTTGAAGGAAGGCTGACCTGGGAATTGCCATGCCAGTGGAGGTGACCGAGTGTTGGGTTTCCCTCACTTCATGCAGATGCGGAAGACATTGCAACGCCTCGGGGCATGTGAGGCACAGCGATCCTTTTCCAGGGTAGGAGGGAGGAGAACCTTAGTCCCAGTTGAAGGCCATGACAAGCGATATCCAGGTCAGTCCAGGTACTCAATGGCGCAATTGTGCGGCCATTCTGCTTCTGACCAAAAAAGACAGAAGAGGTGAAGAGGTGGTAGTTTTTTCCTCCAGCATTAGCGGCAATAGGAGACGAACCCAAGAATGACTCTAAGACAAGGTGACCTAGGCCTGCGCATTTAAAACTCTGTTTTGTGGGTTGACATCAACGCGTTTGTATACATGAAACTGCTATTATTCAGGCGGCTTGTTGGCTCAGGATTTTTTATTAGACCATTGAATTCTAGTACAAGTTGCAGTGCACAATCGCATTCAATAATTAAATTACTGTGTATGCAAAAGTTAACTTTTGGCAACAGTCTTTGTGATGTTGGCTTTATTATTTGTTCAAGTGACTTGAGTGACGCAGAAAACATATGACATATTTTACTGTATATACAGGAGCTTTGATGGACTTACACTACTGTACTCTTAGCCAGCCGCCTAGTTGCAATGCAATCCAGTCATCTAGCAGCTTAGATTCTTCAACCAAATTTCAGGCCAGATTCTAGAATGACATGCGTGCCCACACACACAGAGGCACATTAGCGCACTGCTGGTCTAATTTTATCGTGACTAAACTTATCATGAGGATTGGAGCCTTCTTGAGCTCCCCAGATGTATTTGAGATGTGTTTGCATCATTTGCCAGATCATCACCTTCAGCTCTTCAGCCAAGTCGGCAAGGGTACAGCATAAGTGTGATTTGTAAATCATAACCTCAGACAATAGTTATCAAGAATCAATGTTGGCTTCAGAACACGATTGTGTAGTGCTAGAGCGATGCTGGAGCGATGCTAGAGTACTTTTCGGTTACTACACGGACTGCTTGAGCAATGCTGGCAGCTTTCGAAGCCGACAGCCTGGCAGATGGCGATTCCTCGCCGCGTGCGGCCGTAGTCTGCGAACGCTTAGGAGTTGGGGGCACCTTACTGAAAATACAAAGGAAATATATGATAATTAATGTTGAACAATACACATGGCCCGAAGATTGCTGTTCGTGCAGAACATGGCATATGCGCCGTGCAATCCTATGTAATATGTTCAGAATGCAAGTTCATATAAAGGTTGCAAAACTCCCCTGGTGGTTGGATGTCATTGGCCATTCCTAGGGAGAGGAACGTGCAAAGCCGCAGGTTTATTATGGCTTACGTATTTATAAAAATAATAACAATAATAATAATAAAATACACACACACACATATATATATATTTTAAAAAAATGCTTATATTTATGCAACCCTTAGCATTAATTTATCACTCATGAGCCGCTGTCCTCGCACTTCCTACCTTGCTGCTGCTCCAGGACATTGGGTAAGCAACCTGGATGGAAAAAACTTGGGCTTTGTGGTGTCTGACACTTGCCTGAAGCCACTACTGTTCTGCGCGCATTTGCTTAGAAGGTTCTATGTCTTATTGTTGTTGATTTTTCCAAGACATGATCAGGGCATCCTTCAAGAGATATGTCACCATATGAACCATATGTCATATGTTTGCACACGAAGTCTCTGCACACCTTGGGACCTTGCCATGGAACATCTCCTGCATGTCCGAGACTCTTGCCTTCATTGTTGTCTTCAGGATACGAAGAAGTTCTGGAAGTTGAGCGATGGAAAGGTGGTGCAGAGCCATGGCCAGGTGTTCTCCAGATAGAGGATTCGCCTTAGATCTCGCTGTTTTGGCGAAATGACCAAGGTTTCCCCTTCATGATCGTAGATCAAGGCTTGCCGCAACAATTGCATGTGGTGGACCACTTGATAAAATCCATAAAAATCCATGAACATCCATGAAAATCCGAACGAGAAGAGACGCGCTTGGAGACAAGGAAAGCAGCACATGGGAAGAAGTGGCAATGGATGGACAAGGCCCCAACGCCGGCTGCTACACCGACAGGAGCCCTGGATGAATTATCAATTGGGGAGCTTGATTAAACTTTTGCAATGCCTCGCATTTGCGTGATAAGTGATACAGTAAGTGATAAGCTTGGAAAGTTATGTTTACGGACTTTATGGGCCACACTCAAACTCGCACATTCCAAACATATAGCATGTATGCTCATGTTACCAGTCAGCCCAATCAGTTTTGAGCCTGGAAAGGCGTTCATCCGCCACTTGCATAAAAACCAAACCATCATTGAAGCAATCTTCTGGACGAGTTGCCGGGCATGTTTTTCGAAATTCTATCAGCATCCATCAGCTTCCTCCATTTCCCACCTTGAGATGTCTTGAGCCAGTCAGGTAGCTTCTCGAACACTTGCAGCTCCCCCGAAGTGTCGTTCGTACTGCCGCCAGCAATGACCAGCCCGTGCCTCGGCACCACATGGCACTCTATGGCACTCTTATTGTCAGCCGACAATGGCCCAAAATATGAAAGGGGGCCATCACGATCGTCACGGACAGCCTCACCCAGCGAGAGAGGGAGACAGAGAGATGGGACTTCAGGCTAACAAACCCGACCCCCTGAACGAGATGGTATAGTCTATTGCATGATGCAAATTTTTGTGTTATGTTCCCATATGTTCCCTCAGTGCTGGTCCGAATGTGGATATTGGACCGGAACCTCAAGATGTCACCGCATCGAATGTTGTTGGCCGATTGCATGGCTCTAGAAGCAATGCCTAAGATTGCCCTAACACATCCAAGAATCTTGGCATCGTCTACCTGGCCCATTTGACACAATAACCACTACTGCTCCCAACTACGAATCGAATGAAAGCTACCTATCTGAGGAAGTCTGGCGGCTACTCTCCTCGAAAGGCACAGTCGAATGATCATGAAGTTGGCGTCCAACCTTCACAAATCTTTGCATCGTCCCCACTCTTCTTTTCAATTCTTTTCACTTCTTTTGAATTCTTTTCACTTTATCCTTGAATTGATACTTGAAGTCGCTCCATCTCAATTCGGTGAGCTCTATCTTCTTGGAATGGACATGCAACTTTGTTTATGTATATGTTTATGTATGTTGTTTATAATTGTTTATATATTTTATCTCTCCATCTCTTAGGAGAATCAGTAATTTTGAAGCGTTCACTCATCTATTCCCCTCACAGAGCAGTAAGTTCCTGTGCAATCGTAATATGCAACCGTAATTATAGTCATAGTATGTCATAGTCATAGTCATAGTCGAGAAACTATATATATATATATATCGCAGCAGATCATGGCAGTTCAAAAAGCTGAAAGACAGCTTGCTTGCAAGCACTCCCGTAGATGGCAAGATGCAGGCAACGGTGCGTTTGGGTGCCAATATCCGTGGTGTCGGAGGCAATGGCTGCAATCTTGATTCGGCGACCAGTCACAATTCATGGAAGTTGAAAAAATCCTCTTCTGAGGGTCACCGGATCTCACAAGTTGTCACCAGATGTCAGAGGGCTTTATCTGGAAGATCTGGGAAGATTGATATCTCGGCCAAAAAGATTATAGAGTCTGGTAGAGCGATTGATGCGACTTCCACGAAATGCAGGCGCTTTGTGGGGCCGTGTCGTCGCAGAAGAATTCCAGGGCTGGCGCTTGGACACGGGCCACATTGCGAAGAAGGTGTCGGAAAACGTGTGCCCAAGTTGCACAGTGCAGGCTGAGCAGATGATGCCAGAAGGTACTATATCCTGGAAATTAATACAAGCTATAGTGAGATACAGCCTTGTAATAGTATATATAGATAGATGTATAGCAATGTGATACTAGAAGTGCAGGATCGACCTGATGTATCAAGGCATCAGGTGATATAAATGTCACAAGGTGACCACATCTGGTGCCATTTGGCGCCGATGTGGGCTTTCAGGTCGGTTGAGAAGACATGAGAAGACTTAATTCTCGAAACCGACTCGAAACCTGTTGTCATGGCCTCAGGCAATGGCGCTGGGATGACACATACGCAATCCATGTGGAGTTGGAAGGCCGCGCCGGACATTTATATATATATATATATATATCATTATATATATATCATATTATATCCATCTATCTACCTTGTTCCTTCCTTTCTTTTTTCTTTATATATTTTATTTGTTCATAAATAAGCATATATATATATAGTTTGGCCAATTCGGAAGAGTGGCTAGAGGCTGGAGGTAGATGAAACCGGCAGATTGGAGAAATAGTTCAACGATGCGTCATCCAGTTCAGATTCCTTTCACCTCGCAGGATTGGAATTGCCTCCTTCTGCAGACCTTGAGGATTCTGGGTTTGTCTCATCATGTCAGCCATCGCATGGTGGCTCTTCCATGTACACCAACACATCCCGAGCTACCAGTATTTCTTTCGGCTTTCGGCCATTTTTCTGTGGCCTTTCCGGCACTCCAGATCTGGATATTGAAGATATTGAAGATGGTGAAAGTGAAGTGAAGATGCAGGATCTAAAGGAAGGATCTAAAGGAAGGATCTAAAGGGGAAGCTATCAACAACGGCAGATGCACATGCAGATGGTAATGACATAAAACGACCGTGAAGTTGCAACTTCATAGGCAAGTGTCTGGAAGGCGTGCTCCAGCTGTTCGACTGTTTTGAAATTTGAATAAATTTGAATTGATTGAATTCTGCGACTGATAGCCTCCTCGTAACGCAACTCAATTCGTAGAGTTGGTCAATGATGTAAGGCTTTCACTACACCTGCAATGCTGCATGCAGGACCACACTGGCTGGGACGGTTTGCCACAGGCGCCAAAACAGCACGAGCAGTAAATGTCTGACTTTTGGATGTCTTGGGGGCAGATGATGTGGCCAATCACCCTGATGTGATGGTGACAAGTTGTGAATAGTTGTGATAAGTGTATCTGAGCTGACTCAGCAAAGATCAACGCACACGCTGGCGATTGAAAGTTTGGCCAAAGCTTCGAGTGTTAGTAGCACGCCGTGTCTCTTTGGGTCATGTTTAGGTTTGGTTCATTCGTTTGTTCGTTGTATTAGTTGCAATTACTAGTTGTATTGTTTGAAAGTCAGCTCCATCCTGGTGCCTGAGCAGTGGAGGCCGTGTTGTTTCACATCTACGAGTGGCTCTCCTTGCGCTCCGCCTTGAGGGCAGCAGCCTCGAGCAGACGTTGGGCTCAAAGTGCAGTTGCCTTGCCTGTGGAACTACCACCACCCCAGGTGCTGCGCAGTGTCAGTAACCATCCGTAAACATAATATGTAAACATCATTAACGCTCCGGCTTTCCTCTGAACAATTGCACCGGGCCCGGGAAGATTGATGCGGGGGATTGTTATCTCACAGCCTGCCTAGCATTTGGCCAAAGCATTGCGCACTGTTGCAATCACTTTCAATCCAGTGTAGTTGCGGACAAACATTTCAACATGCTTCAACTTTTCATAACTTTTCCATATTTTTATGTAAACTTTTTTTTGTTTATCTCAAAGCTGTTGCTTCTTTCACATAGCCCTAGCTGACCCATCCAGGTGGACGCCCTGCTGCAGTTCTGTTTGCTCCAGGTCTTGCAGGCAGAGTTGGGAATGCCATGAATTGACGAATGTTGACGATATGATGCGTTTCGGCCATGATTCGGCCATGTGATGTTCTATGATGTGCTTTGATGATCTTTGATACCGTATGCTGCTGATTTTTTGCGCAGGTAAATTATGTATACTTATGTTTGCTAGTGGCATCCATTGCCCACAAGCACCAGTCCAAAAGACAGTAATGCTATGTTGTGCTGCAGATAACGGAGTACCCGAGATGCTGACAGCAAGACATCAGACAAAGATATACAAAGATGCTTTGCCCAACAGTTTGCCTTTTCCAAGGGTATTTGAGGGTGGTGGTGGTGGTGTCCAAGAGGCTTGGAGCAGGCAGTTCGTCATATCCTTTCTTCGACTATTGAGCACTGCAGGCCTTCGATGAAACTCGTTTGCCACTTCCTATGACGGCCATCTATGCGGAGATGCGTGCAGCAGCGCGTAAAGCATTGGTTGGGAGCTTAGCGTGTGTAATTATATATGTATGATTAATTATGAATTATGTATGTGGTTGTTTTACGTATTTATTATGTGTGCATGGTTCTTACCTATATATATAATGCAATATACCGATATATATATATATATATATATTAAATATTTTTTATATTATTGTTATTGTATATTATATATTTGTATTACTATATATATATATGTTACATTACACTACTATAATTATGTATATATATATATATATATACATTTGTTTTTTATATATATATATGTATGTATGTTATATATGTATATGTCTTATGTATATATATATATTACTATTTATGTATATATATATACATATATACATATGCACAATTACATACATATATTGTACAAAAACATATCATAAACTATCGATAACAACACTATTTATGTGTATATATATATACATATATATATATACATATATATATATACATATATATATATACATATATATATATACATATATATACACATATATATATACATACATATATACATATATATATATACATATATATATACATATGTATATATATATACACACACATATATATATATATATATATACATATATATATATATACATATATATATATACATATATATATATATACATATATATACACGTTTATATATATCTATCCGTTTTTGTGTGCGCGTGTGTGACCTTGCTGCGTATCATTTAGATTCTTTCACAGGCGCGGAAGGATTGCTTGTGCCCGGCGCTGGCAATCTGCTTTGCACGGGTGGGTAGAGGTGATATTGAGATATTATGGGAATTTACGAGTAATACAGACAAATGTCAGCCAATTTTCCGAGGTTTTCCATGGCCTTGTGTCATTTTGTCAGGCTGGGACTTCAGCGCGCCATCGAATGGAATCCATGGTCCTGCAATCCGTCGGACCTGTGGCAGAACTCCGAACTGGCCATGTTGCCTACTAAAGAAAAACACTCCATGTCAGGTGTCAGGAGTTCAAAGCTGCAAGGTTGTTTGACTCAGCAAGTCTGCTTTCTGCATTTAGGAGGGCATTAATTACCTGTTTTTGACTTGCTGATGCATTTGATATCATGAATGATATTGAACTAGATATATTGAACTCATGAGAGATGTTCACAACACTTGGAGGGCTTTCCCAATTCCCTTCCATCGCAAGCGGCCCCCCTCAAGGACGAAGCTGCTTGTCTGCGCAGAAAGATCTTTTGGCTGGATTAGCTGCAGGCCACTGCCGCTCACTTCTGCTCGATGTCCGTAAGATCATGATTTCATTTCATGTTTGATTTCTGGGACATGGATTCTTGAAAGACTGACATGTCATGGCACAATATCCTGTAGTCACAAATTAGTCGCCAACATTGGGACATCATTGGGACTGTTTCAACATGGGCGGAGCTTCAAACTGAAGTACGGCCGGCAGGGCGTTGTCACCGACATCACATTTCTTGGATGCCAGCTGCTCGATTGCACCGATGTCTTCTCTTTCCATCTCTTCTCGTTCCCGGCTCTTCTCGCTCAGTCCAGGATGTCCAGGATCAGTCCAGGATGCAAAAGTTGTCAAGGCCACATTTGGCCTTGCGGATATGGCGGTCAAGCCCACTCTGTACCTGCTTCCCCAATCTTCTGCCAAACTTCGAGTTTTGATGGACATTGTTTTTTGATCTGGATTGATTTGCATTTCTTTATCAATAGTATGGTCCGGTGTGGTTCTGGCGCACCATCTTGATAAGAAAGGACTTCTTGGCTGCTGGTACAACAGTTGCCGAGAGAAAGGACTAGACTAGATGCTCTCTCTTGCACCTATTCCTTATTCCTTTCATGGACGGCTGAAAGATGATTAAAGATGCTGAAAGGATTCGAGGAATTTCAGCACTTGTCCTGGACTTGTCCTCCTTGTGATCTGCTGGTGATCCAGTGTCGGCTGTCAAGGATGTTAAAACCTCGGGCCATCGCACGCTGGAGCGCATGGCTCGACATTTCCACTCAATGGACTTAATTGAGGCATGGAAGACCTGACATGGAATGAGCGCAGCCAGCAAACACACCACAACGATTCCCAATGTATGTGCAGATCACTGTGCTGAAAATAATGGATAGGTCATCGGCTCCTAGTAGTCCTGACGCACTTGCAGTTTTACTGAGATAACCTGGGGTTCAGCTGGTTCTGGCTGAAGCCATTCCTTTGGACCTGTATATTTGACAGTGGATCTTTGCTGCGTCGTTTTCCGACCACACGCAGGTGACAAAGCAACGATGGCACAAACGAATTCATCATAGCAACCTGGATGCCAGTCAGAACGATCACGTTTGGCTGTCTGACCTTAGTGCAATTGTATCAGGTGTGTCAGCGGCCCTTGATGTTCAGATAGCTGCTAGCTGGCTTCAAGCTTCTTTACATCTCTTTATGTCTCTGTATCATATACTCCGCAAATCAGGCAGCGCTCGATTAATGACCCATACCAACTTCCAAAAAGACTTTGAGTTGCGAATATTTTCTTTGGGACCAAGGCCCAAATACGCGGACCTGCATTGAATTGCTGCTCACCGGGGTCAACCGCTCTCATCCGCTTTTCCTTGAGCATGAGGTGCGGGGTTGACTAGTGGAGAGTACATACTGTACCCCCAAGGTGAGTAAAGTTATATTACAAGATAAGGATAGATAAGGTTTGAATTGCAAGGCGTTCCAAGCTCTTGAGGCCTATACAGTGTAATATGGCCCCACACGCGCGCGCACACAGAGTATCTACTATTCACTATCTACATATGAATATATATATATATACGCATATTTACATATTTGCAGTAATATATATATATTTACGTGATTATATTTGATATACATATCACCATACAGCCTGACAGATGGCAATCGAGCGAGAGACAGAGAGAGAGAGAGAGATGATATGTAGCATGTATATATATATGTATGTGTGTGTGCGTGCTTATATATATATGACATGTTTACCTATATATATATAATATGACATGTTTATGCTAGGGTCGAAAACCGCAAGTGCAGTCGTGCCACTTTATAAAACTGGGGTTTGGGTGAGGTCGGGTGGGGCAATAACGTTCATGTTATTTGCAATCTCAAGTGATGCTACGCAAGGGCTACTATACGTCATGGCTTGGGGTTTGGGTGGGGTGGGGTGGGGCAATAACGTTCATGTTATATACTTGCAATCTCAAGTCAATGGCTAGGCAAACGCTTGGCAGACTGAAGCGGCTTGTGCAGAAGTGAAAAACAACCATCATCCCAATGCCACAAAACCCCGTAAATACCATGAAATCACTTCAACATTATTCGATTTCCCCGGGAAAATTCATAGAAACATGACTTATAAAATGCGCACGCCGCCACAGTGCCAGCCCTTTTTTTCAAAACGTGCTCAACCGCTAGCGCGGTTTCCCACGCCGGGATGTTTATGTGCATATATGATTTCTTTTTCTCTCTGTGCATGTGTGGTAGTTTGTGCTCAATGCGCATTTTGTGCTAGTGTGTGTGACTTGGCAATGAGGCGTGGGCACTTCAGAAGACTACTGAGGGCACTGAGCGCTTTTGGCTGATTTGGTGCTTTGAAAACTGGGAGGGGCTCAAGACCAAAGGAACAAGTGCACCTGTGAAGTATTGCAAGGCTTGAAAGGATGTAAGTTGATTGGTCAAGGTCCTGTCCGGGTTGATTTGCCAGACTCAAAACTGACGCATTGAGTGAATGCCACCTGGCTGTGCTCAAACCCAGTCAAGACCAAGACCCTCAACCGGCGACATTGCCGTGTAATGAGCTATGCAGCTATGTTTTTCCATGTTTTCCACACCTCATGGCACTGAACATTTTTAATCCCACAGCATGTCCTTGAGTTTTTGTCCTTGATCATCACCGAGGTTCTGCACCCAGGAGGCTGCTGACCAGGTTGACTGGCAAGGTAGATTCACCTAGAGCCCTTGAGGCCCTTGAGTTGCAGGCTTGGGAAGCCAATGACTCCCGCTTATCGTGAAACGGTTTACCATGTCAACACGACCGTGATTTTACCATGCCAACCGGGGGACCTATTCTATGATTCTATGAGGGGAGACATCCGTTAAAACATGTTAAAACTGCATAAGAAAACACTTTGTGTTTCCCACGCTATCTCGGCACCCTGTGAGTGGTTTGCAAGCACCTGCTTGCAATGCGGAAGAAGTAGCCATGGCAGCTGTGCCCATTCAAATTAGCTTGGACTGCTAGTCAGCACAATCTCTTTGGCCCGACAAACTGAATTTTCCGAAACATGAGCGCCGCCGTCATTGACAACAATGGGTACTGTGGTGAACTATGATGACCACCAGCAGTCCTCAATAGTCCGATAGTCTGTCTTTGGGTGCCTCAAGTCCCTGAAGTTTCCATGCAAGAACGTGTTGAAAAATGGCCAAGCGTACCGAAACTATCACTCCATGTTTTGAATAGCGGTGCTTTCTGTTGTGGCTGGAAAACTGAAGCCAAGTCGGCCGCCGGTTCACGGTCGGCCCTTTTGGGTGTTTGGTCTCTAGGATCCCTTGATCCTGGAGCTTTAGTCTCAGTATGTCTCAGCCGTGGGCCTTATCCTCATCCAAATTTCCCGCACCCAAGGCTGGAAGCTTCCATGTCATTTTTACATATTTATTTTTATACTTGGAACTCGTAGCTCACCATATCTCACCATGAAGAATACGCATTCAAACGATGCAATTGATCGCTCCTAATGCACGTACCTCCAGGAGGGGCTTGAATTTATAAACCAAGTTGCATAGTCTTAGGCTGTTTCAGAGCCCGCAGTGTTTTCCTTGCATGGTGTCTGACATGGCGGATTCTTGCACTCTTGTGGCCTCTCTCATCAAGGCAGGGCCATGGCTGTTCGGTTCCGTGTTGAGGGTGGTAACACCTGGCAATGTCATAACATACCCTTCATTGTCCTTCTCAGGGTCATCTGGGAACTGTTTTCGCAGAATCATCCTGCTGGCCTTGCTTTTGCCCGATTGTTTGTCGAGGATGTTGCAGGCGGTCAAAGTGAAGCGGTGCTGGAGACCCTTGGAGCTCTTCGGCCAGACAGAGCATGATAGTTGGGAAATGTTGGGAAAGTTAACTTTTGGAAATCTTCAGAATCCTAAGCCTGGCTTTTCCCAGCCCAAATCTGCTGCAGCTCAGGCACTGATAGAAAGCGACGAGAAGCGTGCCGTTTGGTGGGCTTTGCGGGCCAGACATCGTTTAGAGCTGGGATTGGCACAAGAAGCGCTGGAGGACACACAAGAGGCCCTTTGGCTCGAACCCAGGAGCCCAAGACGGTTGCTGAAAATGCAAGGAAAGGGTAGAAAAGGAACAGGAGAGGTTGGTTTACCTGAGATCCCCAACCGCAAATGCATGTTACATGTTTATTCAATGATATCCACCTTGTAGATCCTTGCAACACTTGTCTCAGGCTTTTTTAGTTTTCTTCAACTGATGATACATGTAACAAATGCATGCAAATGCACGATGTGTTTGTCTGATTTTGACGGATTTTGTGTGATTTGCATGATGTAACATAATTATACGGGTTTATACGTAATATTACGCAATGCTTTAAATAAATGAACACATATTATACATCAATGTATAGTTATAGTTGGTTTATTGTGCGTCTTTTAAAGCATAATTTAATGTAAGGTAATGCCTACCCCGGATTAATAAACCCCCCCCCCTATAGGTCAACTAGGTCAACAAGGTCCAGTGAGGAGGTCCAAAAACCGAACCCCCCAAATAATGTGACCATTCATTCATCCATAAACGATTATTATAAGATTCCTATGGGAAAAGATTGGAAAACCTATGGTAAACAATCAAATTCCTATGGGGAAACATTAGAAAATTAATGATAAACCATCAGATTCCTATGAGAAAAGGTAAGAAAACCTATGATAAACCATCAGATTCCTATGAGAAAAGATGAGAAACCCTATGATAAACCAGCAGATTCCTATGAGAAAAGATGAGAAAATCTATGATAAACCATCAGATTCCTATGAGAAAAGATGAGAAAACCTATGGTAAACCATCAGATTCCGATGAGAAAAGATGAGAAAACCTATGATAAACCATCAGATTCCTATGAGAAAAGATGAGAAAACCTATGATAAACCATCAGATTCCTATGAGAAAAGATAAGAAAACCTATGGTAAACCATCAGATTCCGATGAGAAAAGATAAGAAAACCTATGGTAAACCATCAGATTCCTATGAGAAAAGATGAGAAAACCTATGGTAAACCATCAGATTCCTATGAGAAAAGATGAGAAAACCTATCGTAAACCATTGGATTCCCATGAGAAAAGATGAGGAAACATATGTAATACCATCAGATTCCTATGAGAAAAGATAAGAGAACCTATGGTAAAGCATCAAATTCCTATGGAAAGATTAGAAAATTAGTGGTAAACCATCAAATTCCTATGAGAAAAGATGAGAAAACCTATGGTAAACCATCAGATTCCTATAAGAAAAGATGAGAAAACCTATGGTAAACCATGGGATTCCCATGAGAGAAGATGAGGAAACATATGTAATACCATCAGATTCCTATGAGAAAAGATAAGAGAACCTATGGTAAAGCATCAAATTCCTATGGAAAGATTTGAAAATTAGTGGTAAACCATCAAATTCCTATAAGAAAAGATGAGAAAACCTATGGTAAACCATCAGATTCCTATGAGAAAAGAGGAGAAAACCTATGGTAAACCATCAGATTCCTATGAGGGAACGTGAGGAAACCACGCAAAAACCATCAGATTCCTATGGGAAAAGGTTAGACAACTAGTGGAAAACTATCAGTTTCCTATGGAGAAAAAAGAAAACCCTTGGTAAACCATAAGGTTCCTATGGAGAAAGAATAGAAATTAAATGGTAAACCATCAGAATCCCATGAGGGAATGACAGAGAGTCAGTCACCTCTTCCCAACATGATGAGCCAACCCACAAAAAACCTCTGAAACCAATGTGTTTGGCAATAGCGCGGCTTCGACCTAATGAAAGCACAGCTCTTGCAATGAAAGAGAGTCACCTCTTCCCAACATGATGAGCCAACCCACAAAAAACCTCTGAAACCAGTGTGTTTGGCAATAGTGCGGCTTCGACCTACTGAAAGCACAGCTCTTGCAATGAAAGAGGGCCACCTCTTCCCAACATGATGAGCCAACCCACAAAAAACCTCTGAAACCAGTGTGTTTGGCAATAGCGTGGCTTCGACCTAATGAAAGCACAGCTCTTGCAATGAAAGAGAGTCACCTCTTCCCAACATGATGAGCCAACCCACAAAAAACCTCTGAAACCAGTGTGTTTGGCATTAGCGCGGCTTGGACCTAATGAAAGCACAGCTCTTGCAATGAAAGAGAATCACCTCTTCCCAACATGATGAGCCAACCCAC